AACTGTCGACGCTGAACCGTTGTGACAAACTCGTTCTTCATCCTTAAAATCAGCGAGAAAATATTAATTCATCTGGAGAAAATTAGCTCTAGTAAATGGATTGGATTTGAGTTACAGGCTTGGTGGTACCACTGGTGATCAGTTACGAGATCTCTTACAGGCCTATCTCCACTGTTCGTGGAGACAGCTGCATGGTTGATGTCTGGGTACTGAGTAGAGGAATGGTTTCCCCATATGATCACGTTCTTCACATTGCTGACAGGAAAGTTTAGCTTCTCTGCAATTTGACCCAATGCCCTGTTATGGTCAAGACGTGTGAGGCAAGTGATGTTTTTCTCCGGGATTGAAGGTGCAAATTCTTTCAAGACCAGCGCATTGGTGTTTGCAGGGTTGGCAATCACAAGAACCTTAGGAGAGAAAAAAAGAACCAGAGAGAAAGACAACAAAGAGAATAAACCTATAAGCCCGTCTGCCCGTGAGGAGATTTTACACAAACTGATAAAAACTTAGAAAATTTTCACCTTGCAGTCCTCTGCAGCATATTGCTCCAATGCCGAAGCCTGGGCTTTATATATCGTCACATTCTTGGACATCACATCTTTCCTTTCCATGCCTTCCTTTCGCGGGAACCCACCAATCATGATTGCAATGTTCACATCCTTACAAGCTTCAACAACATCCGTAGTAGCAATAACACCTATTCAGGCACACGCACGCAGCATCTCTTAGGGAGAAGATGAAAATGTCGAATATGTAAAGGATAACCGACAAAAATGTAATCCCTTGCTTCATTCGTGGAATTAATTACTGGAATACCTTGTAGAAGAGGGAAAACAGCATCAAGAATTTCCATTTTCACCCCTTCAAGTGCTTCAGAAGCCGATGCTATATCGAGCAAATGCAGAATCACGGGTTGATCGGGCCCTAGCATGATCCCTCTCGCAATCATTGGAACGATAGAATATCCTATGTTCCCTGATATATAAAAGCACTAAATAGATTAAACGAAATGCCCACAAATCCACACCAGTAATCAAGTAAAGAATGCTTAGATTTTCTCACCAGCTGCACCAGTAACCAAAACCCTAACAGGTTCTTTCTCCACATTTAACAAATTGCACATGTATACGATCATCTTCCATGACAATGTAACACAAAACAACAGAACCAAAGTCTTCTGAATCAGAAAAACGTAATCGATTTCTTCTCCTGTAAACTCCATTTTCCGAGAAAAGTAAGCGACCGAAACAAGTCTCTTCACAGATCAATATCGATCAAATTGCTCCTCTGTCTATATATATACACACGCTCAAGGCTTCGGTTTTTCCCAATGAGACAAGGAATCTAAGTAATGCTTCTGAGACGATATAACCAGACACCTAGGCAGAACACGCTGAAACCAGACAAAACCTTCGCCAAAACCTGATCCTAAAGGAAAGTAGCAGAGAAGATGCGAAGCCGAAATACTGCGACGATCAAAAGAATCAAGACATACCATTGGTGTCGGTAATCGGAGCTCCTGATTCCCATCTTCGCGATTGTTGCCAAGAAAACTAGAGTGGAATTTTGAACTTCGAGGATGAACTTCAAATCTGGAATTTTACCAAAAAAAAAAGTTCTAATCTGGAATTGCTTTGCTCACGCGCGTCTATATATACATACATATATATATATGTGTATATCTGTGAGGAGGAATCCAAGCGAAGCGTACCTCCTCGCGGAAAAGGCCCATTTAGCTGTTGGGTTTAAGGCCTAATACGAGCCCATGTTATAAACACATATTTAGCTGTAAATTTTCAATTTTAAAAAATTAGCCTTAATTGATTCATTAAAAACTAATTAATCAAATGATAAAGCAAATTAGAGATAAAATTTTAAAATAAATAATTTAAAAAAAAAAGATAGAGATCGAAACGAACAGAGGCCATATCTGATTATGTACACACGTGCTTTGAACTCGAATCTCACATTTTAATCTGTAAGTTTAATTAAGTTAATTATAAGATTTTATTAAAATGATAAGAATCCTAAATCTTTATCTTTAGCTCTTAAAACAAATCTAAGAAAACGAACTAATTAAACATTAAATAACGTATATGATTCAGATCAAAATGATAAGATTTCTAAAATATTATCATTTTCTATGTTTTTTTTTTTATAATTATCAAAATCTCTTCAAACTGCAACCCTAAAAATCATGCAACGTCCCTATCACTAAAACAAAATAGCATAGATTTGTTGTTACCTTAATCTCAAAACCCATTTCATTAATTTATAATTTTGAATAACTAATAGTCGACATAATCTAAATGATAAGATTCCTAAATCTTTATATATATAACTCTCTCAAAATTTTAAAAATAAAAATAAAAAACAAAATTAGTCACTCTCTATATAAAACCCATCAAACCACCATCACTTCAACCAATATCTCCATCACTTCACCAAACACAAAAACCATGAAGAGAGACATCATCTTCACGGCCGTAGCCATCTTGGCCCTTGTCGCAATCGAGACCGCAAACGCGACCGAACCAAAACGCCATCGGTGGCCGAAACCGACCGAACTCAACAGCAACAGCTTCGACGACAACAAACAAGGCTGGGGTGGTGCCTATGGCTGCGTCGAGGACCCCACGACGCCACCGTCGCCGATTCCATTGCCGCCGGGATTCCCCGACATCGGAAGACTGCTGCCGCCGGGATTCGGGAATCTGTTTCCGCCGGGATTTCCCGGCATCGGTAATGGCGGCGGAATGATTCCGTCAACGGTGACGGTGACGGCGAAGGAGTCGAAGGGCATAAGCAAGTGCATGAACGATCACCCGAAGGCTAAGGAATGTTACGCTCAGATCTTGAACAGTTACGCCACCGACACGTTGCATTTGGATTCTGAGTGCTGCAAGATGGTCGTGTTGATGGACGATGAGTGCAACGACGTCGTTTACGGCATCTTCAAGAGCGCTTTCTTCCCTCGTCTCCTTCAATACTCTTGCCACCTCAAGAACAAGCACTAGGCGCGTTTGTTCCACGCGCTTTTTATTTTATTTTATTTTATTTATTTATTTGTTTGTTAGGGTTTTCGGCTATGTGCCTTTTTTTTTTTGTTTTCGTGGTTTGTAGTCCATTTCTCGTGGACTTTATACGAATAAAATGATAGCAATGTTTTCTTTTTCTTCCGTCCCGTTGTATTTCTTTTTTTTTTTTTAACTATGGAAATCCAACCACAACTTTTCGGGGCGTGAAACATATAAAGTGACAAGTTCAGTTAGAAATAAATTCGAACCTATGATTTCTAATAAAATTATGGATCTTTTAACCACTACACCATCGAATCGAAGGGTGTCTATTGCATTTTTCATTTGCTTACCATAAATTATTTCCGAATCACAATCAAATTCTATAAAAAAGATGCCGTCCTTAGTTTTTCACTTGATAGATTTATTTTATTATTATTATTATTATTATTATTATTATAGAATAATATTTGCGTGAATTACGCATGCATGCGTGGATTGTGAGCGAAGAAGAAAGTGAGATTGTATACGTAAGTTTTATAGCGTGCATATATATATATATATATATATATATATATATGCGATATACAAGTATACGTGCATTTTATTCTTCCGTACACGATTCATTTCGTTCATTTCATAATTCACTTCAGGAACATATGATAGGATGTTTACTAGCTAGTGTGGCCCTTGGTCGTGAAGAATTTGGGAGTGACGAGTATTTATGGTTCTATGAAATTTTGGTTTTGAATCATATAATTGAAAACTCAGTTTCCATCGAATCCACACGTTTTATTCAATTAACCAAATGTAATGTACCATTTTATTCCTCATAGTAAAAAACTTTAAATATACACATATTTTTTTCGGTATATAGATCAATTATCTATACCTAGTTGACTAAAACCAACTACAGTTATTTAAATTGGAATGAAACCAATTGAAACTTTTATTGGATAATCAATTACGCATTAATTGATTTAATTAATGCAAAGACGTGTTTTTGGACCCCAAACCTCTTACGACCAATACTGTAACTTATTTAAACTAATAATAATAATAATAATAATAATAATAATAATAATAATAATAATAATAATAATAATAATAATAATAATAATAATAATAATAATAATAATAATAATAATAATAATAATAATAATAATAATAATAATAATAATAATAATAATAATAATAATAATAATAATAATAATAATAATAATAATAATAATAATAATAATAATAATAATAATAATAATAATAATAATAATAATAATAATAATAATAATAATAATAATAATAATAACGACCTATTTGTTAAGTCTTTCATTTTCACACGAATCATTTTATTGTATTTGTTTAGATATACATCTGAAAAGAATATATCATTAACAAATTTTAAAAAAATTTAAAGAAGTAAAATAAAAAACAGTATAAAAAATGTTTGTTAACTAACTGAATGTCATTATCACCAACAAATATTACCTTAATCTCAGATCGCATCGCGTTTTACATATAAATTTGTGAATTTAATAATTGTAATTTACATCTGAAGAATGATAAGATTTGGTAAAATTTATCTTTATCTCCCAAGATTTAATATGAATTAGAGATAATCATTCCCTCTTCACTCTCTATATAAATACCCTAAACCCTTTCCTCATTTCGTATTGTTCATTAATCTCTCATTGATTAGTGAAACTAATCAAAAACATAAAAAAAATGAAGAAGCTTTTGGCAGCAGTTCTCGTCGTCGTCACTCTCATGTTCCCGGCGGCGACCACCGCACAAACGGCGACTCACTGGCCAAAGCCGGCGGGTATGACGTGGGCAACGGCGGCGGCGGAGCAATCCACCGTCGATCTAATGAGTGTCTCTACTCATCACCGGGAAAACATAAACTCCCTCGACGGTGGAATCACAACCAACGGTTGGAAATGCGAAGGAGCCAGTGGTCCAGGAGGAGCACGAGTCATCGTCACTCCTTCTCCGCCGTCTCCTCCCCCGCCGGAAACTTCCACCCCTCCGCCGACCCCCGAGCTTCCTCCGCCATCTCTCCCTCCGCCTCCACCTCCTCCGGTGATGGAGCCCACCCCTAAATTATCCCCGCCGTCTCCTCCGGCCATCGAGCAACCACCCTCTCCGCCGGAGATCGAGGAACCGCCATCTCCGCCGGAGATCGAGGAACCACCATCTCCGCCGGAGATCGAGGAACCACCGTCTCCACCGGAGATCGAGGAACCACCGTCTCCACCGGAGATCGAGGAGCCTCCGTCACCACCGGAGACCGAGGAGCCACCTTCCCCACCGGAGACCGAGGAGCCACCTTCCCCACCGGAAAGCGAGGAGCCGCCATCACCACCAGTGATCGAGGAGCCGCCTTCCCCACCGGAAATCGAGGAGCCGCCGTCTCCACCGGAAATCGAGGAGCCGCCGTCTCCGCCGGCGAGGAGAGGAAGGTGGATGCCGCCAAACGTGAGACATTTGAGGAAGTGCTTCAGGGAATTGCCGACGGGGATGGCTTGCTACAGGGCGATACTGAGCAGTTACTTCACGGGGATGTTCAGAATCAGCAGACAGTGTTGTCAGATTGTTGTCGACATGGAAGATGAATGCGCCGACATCGTTTTCAACCGTTTCACCGATCCTCACTTCTGTCGTGCCCTTCAGTACACCTGTTACTGTTCTTACAATTAAGCGCGTCTTCCCACGCGCCGCCTTCTGTTTTTTTTCCTTCGTTTTTTGTTTTGTTTTGTTTTGTTTGGGCTTTTTTTTCCAGGTTTTTTCCGGCCCGTTTCGTTGTCCATCTCTCGTGGACCATTATGATGTTCTTTTGATCCAATAATAATATTGCTCCTTTTTTGTTTTTAATTTTGTTTTTTTCCTGCACTAGTAAAATGAAAATTAATTTTTTGATCAAGTAAAATTTATAATCTATAAAATATTACAAAATAATGGAATTAGACTGTTCACTTTTTGAACTTGGATTGGATTTGAGCTATCTGATGTTTGACTAGAAAAAATATTCTGAAATGATGATAAAATTATAAATAAATTGTATATTATATGGCGTATCTCCAATTAACTGATGTAAATGAAATTTCACATTGTATATACATTTTCTAACGTTACCAGTTACGTGTTGCGTTTATATTATCAACACAACACAAACACTATTACGTATAAAATTGAATTATATATATATGTATATATATGGACTAAATATAAAAGAAATGATACGATAAGATTAAACCGAATCATTGATCGAGTTAATATTAGTTTTTTAAAATCATAATTTATAAAAAAAAAAAAGAAGTAAAATCTCATGTTATACAAAGTATATTTACAATATCATAGTAATACTCCAATTATTCTAGATTCATATCAGAATAATATATAAATTTTAAAATTTTAGATTAATACACTAATTACTCTGTAAATATCAGATTAATACGCGATTTTTCAAAGTTTAAAAAAAACTATCATAACCAATATTACTATAACGTCATTAAAAATAATATACAGAATCCAATCACACAACGTCATTGTCATCAGAAAAATATAAACCAAATTAAAAAGCACATTAATTTTTTATAAAATATATAAAAATTATAAATAAAAATATAAAAAATATATATATCATTTCGTGAGCCAACTAATGAATCGTCGAGTCGGTGCACGAGAACTCGTGGCCGTGGCGAACTGATAGACCAACGATTCTTGTTCACCAAAAAAACGAGCCCACCCACAATTTGCAATGTCACCCCCCTACGTTCCATGATACACAAGCGCGTGGGTCCTACGTGCTCATGTGGGGCCCTTGAGGATTATGCTGATGAATATTTATCGAATTACGACCACTTAATAAATAATTCTTTGTTTTTCGTGGACCGAAAACAAAGAATACTGCATTAATCAGATCCAAAGAAATAAAAATAAAAAAACTACGGCAAATCGGATATGGTTGGGTTATCCGACCAATGGCAACAAACATTCACTAACCTTGACATTCTCATTCTTATATAAAACCATCAATTTTGACTTGTTATTCACCCCACCATATAAATTTGATTTGACTATTAATTATTTTATAATAATTCCATATTATATATACAGATCAAGAAGAAGTATGGAGATCGAAAACAGAAGAGATATTACTTTTTATTTGGTAATTAATAAAATAATATTCTATAAAATCAAGCAGCATAAATTTCTCTAAATTTATATAAAAATCCAAATAGTATAATTTTCATGTTCTTGTTGAAAATGACATCCCTCAACTTGGATCACGCAACTCATGACGACACTGTACCATGATGATTTATCACCACCTCTATTTAAAAAAAGAAAAATCCTAATAAAAACCCTTTACTTTTTTTTAGTCACAATTTAAACCCTATAATTTTTTGTTGATCGAAAAAAATCATATATTTTTATAAATTGGCGAATAAAAATCTATGCTTTTAAAAATTGGCAAAAAAAAACCTTTAACGAAAAAATAATAATATTTCTGATAACATGACATTCTAATCAGATGCACATCATCAACTCTATGTCAAATCATCAAATCTAATATTTAATAATAGTAATTAATAAAAAATAAAAATAATAAAAATAAAATTTTAAAAGTTATACACATATATATCTAATGAAATGATATACATATATATATATATATATAATTATATGTATGTATGATATATGATTTTTTTCTAAAAATCATACATATATATAATGATTTTTAGAAAAAAATCATATATTACACATACATATAAAACATATAATTATACACATATATATATATGTATTATATATATAAAATCATATATATGTATTATATATATAAAATCATATATATGTATATATAAATATAGAAAGTATATATATAAAATCATATATATGTATATATAAATATGCTTTTTGTGATATATGATTTTTTCTTAAAAATCATACGTATATAATGATTTTTAGAAAAAAATCACATATCACACGTACATATAATTATACATATATATATATATATATTATGTATATATATATATATATATGTATATAAATATGTTTATATATTTCATTTTATTATATATGTAATTTTATTATATATGTATGTATATATGAATGTGTATAATTTTTAAATTTTTATTTTTATTAATTTTATTAATTTTATTTTTTATTAATTAATATTATTAAATATTAGATTTGATAATGTGGTATAGGGTTGATGATGTGGCATGTGACTAGAATGCCATGTCATCAGAAATATTATTATTTTTTTCGTTGAGTGTTTTTTTTTTTTGCCAATTTTTAAAAATATAGAGTTTTATTTGCCAATTTGTAAAAGTACATGATTTTTTTTATCAACAAAAAATTATAGAGTTTAAATTGTGACGAAGAAAAAGTACAGGATTTTTATTGAGATTTTCTCTATTAAAAAACTAAAATCAAAGAAATATAAGCAAATATATATATATATATATATATATATATAATATTTTATAATTATAATAAAAATAAAAAGAAATAATGGAATTCTATTTGTAGCCCAACGCCACCCATAAAATTCTCGCCTACCATCCGTGAAATCTGAGATTTTCCAAAACAATTGCTAATACTATGAAAAAAATATAAAAATATATCCCAAAATAAAACCACGTGCCTCAATAGCGAGTG